TTGACGCGCCTTCCTCTTGGCACGCTTCTCTCTTTCACCCTCCATTCGTGCCTCTTCAAATTCTGCAGCACTGCTGGTCACAGCTGACCTCCAGCTGGAGCGCTCAAGGCTTCCCAGTTCTCAGTGTCTATGCAGAGTTTTTAAGGTTGGCTTTGAGCCCATCTTTAAATCTCTTTTCCTGTCCACCAACATTCCGTTTTCCATTCTTAAGTTCGAGTAGAGCAACTGCTTTGGGAGACGGTGGTCAGGCATCCGGACAACGTGGCCGGTCCAGCGGAGTTGATGGTAGAGGACCATCGTTTCAATGCTGGTGGTCTTTGCTTCTTCCAGCACGCTGACGTTTGTCCGCTTGTCTTCCCAAGAGATTTGCAGGATTTTCCAGAGGCAGCGCTGATGGAATCGTTCCAGGAGTTGCATGTGACGTCTGTAGACAGTCCACGTTTCGCAGGCATAGAGCAGGGTTGGGAGGACAATAGCTTTAAACAAGCACCTTGGTATCCCTACGGATGTCCCGGTCCTCAAACACTCTCTGCTTCATTCGGAAAATGCTGCACTCGCAGAGCTCAGGCGGTATTGTATTTCGGTGTCGATGTTGACTTTGGTGGAGAGGTGGCTGCCAGTGGAAATGGTCAACATTTTCTAATGTTACACCATTAAGCTGTATCTCTGGCATTGGGGAGGGGATGGCTGGTGACTGCTGGAACAGCACTTTGGTTTTCTCGATGTTCAGTGACAGGCCAAGCTTCGTGTATGCTTCTGCGAAGGTGTTTAGAGTGGCTTGTAGATCTTCTTCTGAATGCGCACAGAACATTGTCATCAGCATACTGGAGTTCTATAACAGATGTTGTTGTAACCTTGGTTTTGGCTTTCAGTCTGCTGAGGTTAAACAGCTTGCCATCTGTCCTATAGATGACTTCCACTCTGGTGGGAAGCTTCCCGTCAACAAGGTGAAGTATCATAGCGATGAAAATGGAGAATAAAGTTGGGCCATGGGTTCAAACGCCAGGGAATGAGATTCCACCTGAATATTAGGAGGAATTTCCTGACCATAAGGAGAGCTGTTCAGAGTCTGGTGGACGCTCCTTCCTTGGAGGCTAGTAAACAGAGGCTGGATGTCCATCTGTCAGGAATACTTTGATTGTGCTTTGCATACATGGCAGAATAAAGGGGGTTGGACTAGATGGCCCATGTGATCTCTTCTAACTCTATTATTTTATATTTTTACTAGCAATCCCCTGCTACGTGTTGATGTGGCCCAGTCTAGTGATCTGGAAAATAAAGTAATTACAAAGTGTTGGTTTCTAATATATGTAATGTCTTTATGCTTGTGAGTAAAGACTATTTCTTGCTGTTTCTTTGTCAGTGTTAATGTGATGATTGGTTTGCCTATTCTGGAACATGCAACATATCATTGTCCTTCTTTAGGGGTCCCTTTCAAATCTATTATACTATCTGTGTGTGTGTGTGAATCATATCTATCTATTTATATCTTTGGCTGGATGACTCTTTGTTGGGAGGGCTTTGATTACGTTTTCATGGTCTTGTGAAGGGAGTTGGACTGGATGGCCTTAAGTATTTTCTGTTGGTCATGGGGCTTCAGTGTGGGAGGTTTGGCCCAATTCTGTCATTGGTGGGGTTCAGAATACTCTTTGATTGTAGGCGAACCATAAATCCCAGTAACTACAACTCCCAAATGTCAAAGTCTATTTCCCCCAAACTCCACCTGTGTTCATATTTGGGCATATGGAATATTTGTGCCAAGTTTGGTCCAGATCCATCATTGTTTGAGTCCACAGTGCTCTCTGGATGTAGGTGAACTACAACTCCCAAACTCAAGGTCAATGCCCACCAAACCCTTCTAGTGTTTTCTGTTGGCCATGGGAGTTCTGTGTGCCACGTTTTGTTCAATGCCATAATTGGTGGAGTTCATAATGCTCTTTGATTGTAGGTGAACTATAAATCCCAAGAACTACAACTCCCAAATGACAAAATCAAAAAAATTTGAGTGAAGGACATACATTGGGTTTTTTAGGTGTATGCTGTCCAAATTTGGTGCCAATTCGCCCACTGGTTTTTGAGTTTTGTTAATCCCACAAACGAACATTACATTTTTATATATATAAACCCATTTTCCTAATTCCAACAGACCTCACTATCTCTGAGGATGCTTGCCATAGATGCAGGCGAAACGTCAGGAGAAAATATCCCTCTAGAACATGGCTATATAGCCCGAAAAAAACTACAGCAACCTGGTGATTCCAGCCATGAAAGCCTTCGACAATCCGCAGGAGGAACTGTTATCCTTTGAACCTAGCATCGGCAGGGTATGTTCACCTGTTCCTTCTGGAGCTCATCTCACCACAGTAAAACAGTGGATGTGGCTCTTAATGAGACATGCCGCATTATCACAGTGTCTGCGCCCTACACCACTGGAGAAATTACACTGTCTAGCCGGTATTGCACCACCTGACATCTGTCGGGAAGTAGCAGCCAATAGTGAAAGGACCAAGGCAGAGACATCTCCAGCTCATCCCTTGTTTGGGTATCAGCCAGCATGTCAACGACTTAAATCAAATAGTTTTCTAAGATCTACAGAGACACTCGCTGGAACACCCCAGCAAGTGAGAGTCCAAAAGTGGCAGGCTCAAACCCAGAACCTCAATCAATGGCTGATACCAAATGAGAAACTCCCCCCTGGGCACACAGAAGACTGGGCGACTTGGAAGGCACTGAACAGACTGCGCTCTGGCACCACGAGATGCAGAGCCAACCTTCAGAAATGGGGCTACAAAGTGGAATCCATCGACATGCGAGTGCGGAGAAGAGCAAACCACTGACCACCTGCTGCAATGCAACCTGAGCCCTGCTACATGCACAAGGGTGGACCTTCTTGCGGCAACACCAGAGGCACTCCAAGTGGCCAGATACTGGTCAAAGGACATTTAATCAACTACCAAACTCACACATTTTGTATTTTCTCTGTTTGTCTTTGTTCTGTTAGAAATGTAATATAATTGACTGGCTGCCCTGACACAAGAAATAAATAAAATCTGGAGCTCATTCCTCAAAACCTTCACCCCTCACACCTGATGAAGAAGGCTGCATGCTGTGCAAGCATATGCCATCAGACAGTAAATACTCTCAAAGGTGTTGTGGACTCTTTGGGGTTTTATTCCTGGGAGTAGCACTCACTCTTCTTTGTGAGGCTCAAGGGTTCCAAAAGAGCAAAGGTTTCAAGGTGATGATTTCTCTTCCGTTCCCTGAGTCATTTCAGTGAGCGTTTTCCTGCTGCCTCTCTGTTGTGGTGGCCTTGGAACACGAGAGCAGTCTCCAAATATCCGAAGAGCTGCCGCACCACACAGATGAAGGGCAGGGTGTGAACCCATAGGTTCAAGTTACACGGCAGGGGATTTCAAGTACCTGATGAGATGAGCTCTTCGTTACTGGAATAGATGGCTGCAGACACTCCCCCAGTAGGTATTTGATTAAAAACAGGACCTGGAAGAATCCCATGAGAGATACTGTTTGCATCAAGTGCCCTTTACTAATAGAGCAGCGTTTCCCAATCTTCATAATGCCACGACCCCTTAATACAGTTCCTTATGTTGTGGTGACCCCCCAAACATAAAATTATTTTCGTTGCTACTTCATAACTGTATGTTTTGCTACTGTTATCAATTGTAATGTAAATATCTGGTGTATTTTCATTGACTGAACCAAATTTGGCACAAATACCCAATGCAACCAAGATTGATTTTGTCTGGTGGGGTCGGAGGGGATTGATTTTGTCATTTGGGAATTGTAATTGCTGGGATTTATAGTTCACCTACAATCAAAGAACATTCTGAACTCCACACGATGGAATTGAACCAAACAGCACTCAGAACTTCAATGACCAGCAGAAAAAAACTGTAAAGGTTTAGTGGGCATTGACCTTGAGTTGTGGAGTTGTAGTTCACCTACATCCAGAGAGCACTGTGGACTCAAACAATGATGGATCAGGACTAGACTTGGCACAAATACTCAATATGCCAAAAGGGGAAGGTTGATTTTATCATTTGGGAATTGTAATTGCTGGGATTTATAGTTCACCTACAATCAAAGAACATTCTGAACTCCACCAACGATGGAATTGGACCAAACATAGCACTCAGAACTTCAATGACCAACAGAAAAAACTGTAAAGGTTTAGTGGGCATTGACCTTGAGTTTTGGAGTTGTAGTTCGCCTACATCCAGAGAGCACTGTGGACTCAAACAATGATGGATCAGGACCAAACTTGGCACAAATACTCAATATGCCAAAATGTGAATACTGGTGGAGTTTGGGGAAAATATATCTTTACATTTGGGAGTTGTAGTTGCTGTGATTTATAGTTCACCTACAATCAAAAAGCATTCTGAACCCTACCAACAATAGAATTGGGCCAAACTTCCCACACAGAAACCCCATGACCAACAGAAAATACTGCATTTTCTGATGGTCTTCAGAGACCCCTCTGACACCCCCTCGCAACCTCTCCAGGGGTCCCGACCCCCAGGTTGAGAAACACTGTAATAGTGGGTTGGGTTATATGGCCTTTTAGATCCTTCCCCATTCCATTGTCCTAAAGAGTTCGAGTTGAACTGTACTTTGGTGTTAGATACATGCCTTAAAAATGATTGAACAGAGTTTCTAAACGTCCAAGTGGGTCAAATAGGTTTTACTTGATTTTCAAAATATCATGAACAGAAACCTCCCAAGTAGAAGTGAAAGCAGGACGAGCGCATGAACCATGAGCAGCAGCCACACTTTCAGTAAAATGCATTATCCATTGCTTTACATGTCTCTTTTCTTTCTCTCACTATTGGACTGAGTATCTTCTGAGCTTTCTTATTTTGAGTCTTCAAGGTTTGGTCATTGCAAGGGATTTTAGCCATGTTCGCTTCTGGGCTCAGTTTACATTACAACGTTATCCAGTTTACGTTATGTTACCCAACTTTCTTTGCGTTTTGTTTTAGATGATAATCGAAGCCCTTGAAGAAGAGAAGCAGTTCCTCATGATGTCTATTGCAGAGTACCTAAAGGACTACCATGATCTCCTTCAGGTGAAAGCGAGCCTCAGCCTTGAAATTGCTACCTACAGGTACGTATCACACTGGGCAAACACACCTTTTGGTGCTTCAAATGTTAGCCCTGTTTCTGGGTATCTTTCACATGCAGATTCCAAAAATTGCACCAGTTTCCCCCTATTGGTTCTCATTTTTGAGATATAGAATGCCATCATCACCATCGGCAATCCCTTGTGTCTGAGTAAGATGGACTTCCAAGCGTAGGGTCTTGGCGATGGTTCCATAGGTGGTTGTAGAGCCCCATTCTTGATCTGCATGTTTGTTGCAGTATAGTTGATTTTGCCCAGGAGTGCTCTTGGGGGAAAATAGACCTTGACATTGTAGTTACTGGGATGTATAGTTCGCCTACAATCAAAGAGCATTCTGAACTCCACCAGTGATGGAATTGAACCAAATATGGCACACAGAACTCCCATGACGAACAGAAAATATATATATCAGTGATTGGTTGGGGGGGGGGGCGCCAAAATACTGTTTGCTTACCATTGAAAATTACCTTGGGCCGCCTCTGGTTGCAACTCAGGATAGAATTCACCTTGCTCCAGACACCACCACACCAAAGCTGTGGGCTTTTTGTAGTTTATTGAAAAAAGCAAAATCAAAACAAAGAAATAGAAATGCAATAGGTCCATAGGCAAAACAGAGACTTAAATGCAAAGGCACAGTTCCCAAGATCCAAAGGCAAAGACATGAAGCATAATCCTTTAGCAATGGTCAAACAAAAGTCCATGGAAAACAGTTGAAAAACAAGACCCAAATCCCAGATTCAGGAAGCCAGAAGCGTGCTGATAAAAACCAAGGAAAATCTCCAGAAGTTAACATGGAAAGAGCAATATTGGACTGACAACAACTGTATGTCAGCTACAAGACTAAATACCCTTTGCAAACATGAAATCATTGCGTTGACCTTGTTTGGCTTCTCGCTTGCTGGCCAAGCGAGTGCTTCTCCGAAGCCTTAATTGCAAACTATCTTGTCTGCTCATTAATTCATTATCTGCAAGGCTATGCAACCCCTTATCTGGGTTCAGCTGGGATGGATCCTCCACCTGGCCGTGTGGGATTTCACTCTTGCTATCAGTCTCTCTAACTGCAGGAACATTCATTTCCTCTGAGAATTGACTTGCTGTTTCTCCTTCAGCCCCATCCGAAACATGTACAGGAATCTGTAACCCATCAGCCTCCTCGTCATCCTGCAGGCCAAAGTCGGGCTCAGAAGGTCCAAACAGGCCAGCTTCCTCAGCTTCAGACTCAGAGTCAAGCTCAGTCACAACACTGTTCTTTCTTCTGCAGTCAGGACATGGGTTTCCAGATTGAAGGCGGTCCCAGTCAGGGTTGGCTTGATACACCTCCCTCCTCTTGACCCATTTCTCCCTTTCGCCATCCATTTGTGCCTCTTCAAATTGCACTGCTGATGTCCATTTGGAGCGCTCAAGAGCCAGGGCTTCCCAGTTTTCTCTCAGTGTCTCTACCACAATTTTTAAGGTTATCTTTAAGCCCATCTTTGCATCTCTTTTCCTGTTTCCCATTCATCAGTTGAAGAGTAGAGTAATTGCTTTGGGAGGCAATGATCTTTGGGCATTCGGACAACGTCACCTTCAGTCCTGCAAAGTTGATAGCAAAGGATCATGTCTTCAATGCTGACATTTATCTGCCTTTCTTCCCAAGATATTTGCTGGATTTTTCAGAAACAGCACTAATGGAATCATTCCAGGAGTTGAATGTGATGTCTGTAGATGCTCCTTGTTTCTCAGGAATAGAACAGGGTCCTCATGGACAACAAGTTAAACATGAGCCAACAATGTCATGTAGCGGCAAAAAAACCAATGGGATTTTGGCCTGCATAAATAGGAGCATAGTGTCTAGATCTAGGAAAGTCATGCTACCCCTCTATTCTGCCTTGGTTAGACCACACCTGGAATATTGTGTCCAATTCTGGGCACCACAATTGAAGAGAGATATTGACAAGCTGGAATGTGTCCAGAGGAGGGTGACTAAAATGATCAAGGGTTGGAGAACAAGCCCTATGAGGAGTGGCTTAAAGAGCTGGGCATGTTTAGCCTGAAGAAGAGAAGGCTGAGAGGAGATATGATAGCCATGTATAAATATGTGAGAGGAAGCCACAGGGAGGAGGGAGCAAGCTTGTTTTCTGCTTCCTTGGAGACTAGGACGCGAAACAGTGGCTTTAAACTACAAGAAAGGAGATTCCACCTGAACATGAGGAAGAACTTCCTGACTGTGAGAGCTGTTCAGCAGTGGAACTCTCTGCCCCGAGTGTGGTGGAGGCTCCTTCTTTGGAAGCTTTTAAACAGAGGCTGGATGGCCATCTGTCAGGGGTGATTTGAATGCAATATTCCTGCTTCTTAACAGGGGGGTTGGACTGGATGGCCCATGAGGTCTCTTCCAACTCTATGATTATAGGGTTGGGAGGACAACAGCTTTATAGACCACCACCTTGGTCTCCGTATGGATGTCCCAATCCTCAAACACTCTGCTTCATCCAGAAAAATGCTGCACTCGCAGAGCTTAGGCGGTGTTGTCTGTCAGTGTCGATGTTGATTTTTGTGGAGATGTGCTGCCAAGGGAGTGGAAATGGTCAACATTTTCAATGTTACATCATTAGGCTGTATTTCCGGCATTGCGGAGGGATTGACTGGTGCCTTTTGCTGGAAGACCACTTTGGAAAAGCCAAAACCAAAATCACAACAACATTGGTTATCGAACTCCAATATGCGGATTTTTTTTTTGTCATGTCAGGAGCAAGTCGCTTCTGGTGTGAGAGAATTGGCCATCTGCAAGGATGTTGCCCAGGGGACGCCTGGATGATTTGATGTTTTTATCATCCTTGTGGGAGGCTTCTCTCATGTCCCCGCATGAGGAGCTGGAGCTGATAGAGGGAGCTCATCCACCTCTCCCCGGATTCGAACCTGCGACCTGTCAGTCTTCAGTCTTGCCGGCACAGGGGTTTAACCCACTGCGCCACCGGGCGCTCCTAATATGTGGATGATAACGTAGTTTGTGCTCATTCAGAAGATGACCTACAAGCCACTCTAAACATCTTTGCAGAAGCATATGAAAAGTTCGGTCTCTCACTGAATATACAGAACATATGGCAGCAGTAACAACAACAACAAAAGTGGACAAGGAGCAACATATCTTGGCGCAGGTATATATGTGTGACTGACCAACCTTAAATTGGAGGGAACTTGAAATCAGTTCAGGAATGGAGCAGAGTGTGAACACACCGAATCCAAAGAGGAGGGAAGAACGGTTGTTCAGAGAGTTGGGGAACCTGGACCGCATTCAAGCATAGCTCTCTATTCCCTTGTAACAGCAGGTGGGCTCTTTGCGGATATTCTTGGATCCATTACTTTCTCTGGATACATCAGTATCTGTTAGCAAGGAATTCCCTTTGACAGCGCTGGCCTTTCCAAGAGACAGTAGGTCTGGTGTCAGTTAACCATCCTCTGCTTCCAACCCAACTGGAATGTCATGATCTTTGTGGGGCTGCCTTTAAACAGCCCATGAGTGCTGCAGCTTCATTGTTAGCTGCAGTTTGAAAATTGTTACCTATTTATTTCTGGGTTCAGCTCAAAGTGCTAATACAGATTGAGTATCCCTTATCAAGAATGCTTGGGACCAGTGTGGTTTGGGTTGGAGGATTTCTTTTTGAATATCTGTGTTGGTATCTGCATATATATGTGACCCAAGTCTAAACATGAAATCGATGTATGTGTCATATTTATTTATTTACTAGCTGTACCCGCCACGCATTGCTGTGGCCAACCTTCCCTCCCTCTTTCTCTCCTTCTTTATTTCTCTCCTTCCTTCCTTCCCTACCTTCCCTCTTTTTCTTTCCATTCTTTCTTCCTTCTTTACCTGTTTCTTTTCTCACTTCCTTTGCTCTTTGGTTCCATCCTTCCTTGTCTCTTTCCTTCCTTCCCTCCCTCTTTCTCTCTTTCGTTCCTTCTCTCCTTCCTCCCCTCTTTCACTTTTTTATTTCATTCTCTCCCTCCTCTCCTTCCTTCCTTCTTTACTCTTCTTTCTTTCCTTTTTTATCTCCTTCCCTCCTGCTTTCCCTCCTTCTCTCCTTCTTTCTCTCCTTCCCTCCTTCTTCCTTCCTTCTCTACCTTTCTTTCCTTCTCTCCTTCTCTCTCTCCTTCTCTCCTTCCTTCCTTCTCTATCCTTCTTTTCCTTCTTTCTCTCCTTCCCTCCTTCTTTCCCTCCTTCTCTCCTTCTATCCTTCCTTCCTTCTCTACCCTTCTTTCTTTCCTTCTTTCTCTCCTTCCTTCCTTCTCTCCTTCTCTGCCTTTCTTGCCTTCTTTCCTTCTTTCCCTCTTTCTCCCCTCCTTCTCTCTCTTTCTCTCCTTCCTTCCTTCTCTACCCTTCTTTCTTTCTCTCCTTCCCTCCTTCTTTCCCTCCTTCTCTCCTTCCTTCCTTCTCTACCTCTACCTTTCTTTCCTTCTCTCCTTCTCTCTCTCCTTCTCTCCTTCCTTCCTTCTCTATCCTTCTTTTCCTTCTTTCTCTCCTTCCCTCCTTCTTTCCCTCCTTCTCTCTCTCCTTCTATCCTTCCTTCCTTCCTTCTCTACCCTTCTTTCTTTCCTTCTTTCTCCGCTCCTTCTCTATCTTTCTCTCCTTCCTTCCTTTTCTACCTTTCTTTCCTTCTCTCCTTCTTTCCCTCTTTGTCTCCCGCCTTCTCTCTCTTCTTCTCTCCTTCCTTACTTCTCTACCCTTCTTTCTTTCTCTCCTTCCTCCTTTCCCTCTTCTCTCTCTCCTTCTCTTCCTTTTCTCTACCCTTCTTTCTTTCCTTCCTTCTCTCCGTCCCTCCTTCTCTCCCTCTTTCTCTCCTTCCTTCCCCCTTTTTGTGTATGTGTTTTGTGTGTGTGTGTGTGTGTGTGTTTGTGTATATATTGTGTGTGTGTGTGTGTGCTTTTGTGCATGCATTGTAATGTATTTGGGGGGGTGGTGGACTTTTTAAGTCCCTTCCACTATGTTTTTTCCGTGTTTTTATGAGTGA